AGTTGTCCCCGCACGCAGAGCCCCCGCCGTCCCTCAGCGCGCTGCCCCAGCAGCCTCGCAGACGGACTCCCCGGGTCCAGTGGCCAGTGCGTCTCCTTCCCCGGGCTGGCCTCCTCTCGGGAGGGGCCTGGCTCAAGGTCACGTCCGGCTGTCTGCCCGGGCTGTGGGCTGAGCCCAGATCCTCAGTGTCACCTGCCACACTGGCTAGGGGAAGCCAGGTGGAGGTTATTGCCGGGCAGCTGCCTACAAGTCCTGATGGACCCGAGAGAGCATATGAACGCTCTGGGATTCTGCCCAGTCTGGCGGCCCTCCCTTCCTGAAACCGGATTCCTTAAGGCGACCCTTCAAGTGGCGTCAAGCCTGGTTTGGATGCTTCCCGGCCTGGCCCCGATTTACTACTGAGCAGAGGAGCGTCTTAGGGCGCTAACCGTCCATGCTTTTGTAATGTGTACTTCCACATTGAGAGTAAAGTACGGTGGGGCCCGAACTTGGGGACAGAATACAAAACGACAGTAGTTTCCTGAAAAAGTAAAATTAATTTACGTGTGTGTGTGTGTGTCTGTGTGTGTCTGTGTGTGTCTGTGTGTGTGTCTGTGTGTGTGTGTGTGTGTGTGTCTGTGTGTCTGTGTGTGTCTGTGTGTGTGTGTGTGTGTGTGTCTGTGTGTCTGTGTGTGTCTGTGTGTGTGTGTGTGTGTGTGTGTGTGCGTTGTCAGAGGACAACCTGTAGGAGTCTGGTCTCTCTTTTCACCAGGTGGGTTCCGGTGATTAAACTCAGGTGTGCTGTCTTGGTAGCAAGTACTTTTACCTTTTGAGAGATCATGCTGGCCTGACACTGGTTTCTCTTTACTTGGAAAACATCTGGAGTTGGCACTTCAGGGAGAGTTGGCGTTTAGGGCTGAAATTAATGGCAATAACAAAAATAAAGAGTACTCCAGCCTTGGCTGGGTGCCCAGCACTGTTTGAGGCTCACATAGTAAAACAGGCTAGTCAGTTTCACATTCTGTTTTAATAGATCTGTCTTTTCAAATGACAATAGAGAAATGTTTCTTTTTTCTTTTTGGTTTTTTGAGAGAGGGTTTTTCTGTGTAACAGCCCTAGCTGTCCTGGTACTAGCTCTTCTGCCTCCCGAGGAGAAATGTTTCTTTTACCTACACTGAGAAGCATTTTTGATTAAAAAGAAAATTTTGTTTTTGTGATCTATTTAAACAAATAGTGAAGGGTCTTCCCCAGATTCTTAGTTTTATGTCTGGAGCATTATATATATATATGTGTGTGTGTGTGTGTGTGTGTGTGTTTGGAAGAAATAAGCCAAGTATTTTGCAAAATGTTTGAATAATAGTATTATTTAGATAGGGTCTTAGTATGTGCCCTGGCTGGAACTCCCTATGTAGATGTAGACCAGACTGCTTTTAAAATTTAGAGATCTAAAGCTGGGATGTGGTCATGAACGCTCAGCAATTTAATCCCAGCACTCGGGAGGCAGAGACAGGTGGATCTCTGTGAGTTCAAGGCCAGCCTGGTCTACAGAGCGAGTTCCAGGACAGCTAGGGCTGCCGAACTAAACCAAACCAAACCAAATCAAGCCAAACCAAGCCAAAAAACCCCTCAGAGATCTGTCTCCTTCTGCATCCCTTGTGTTGGGATTAAAATTTCATACCACTTCCCTGATTAGTTAATTGATTTTTAAGTGTCACTGATAATAAACAAATCTTGTAGGAAAGTGCTAGACATTACTGAGAAGTAAATGTCAGTCTGTCCTGGAGACTGACTTAACTCTCAGGGGGCTTTTGCCTTGGGTCTTCTTTGTGGTGCTAGCCCTTTCCTTGGGGTGAGTGTGTCTTCTGGCTCTTAGTTAACTCACTAGTCACTGGGCAAAGTTCTTGGAAAGGATCCTGATAATAGTCTTGTTCCAAGTGGGGCACATGCCACAGGAAATCTGGACTGTCTGGTGTGGTGGCTGGTGATCAGCATGAGTGGCCTACAGCAAGAATTACAACTCACAGTTCTAATTGGGATCCACTAGCTCAGTAATCTGAGAACCTGCCTAAACTTTTGTTTTTGTTTGTTTGTTTGTTTTGAGCTGTTCTGGAACTTGATATGTCGACCAGGCCTGCCTCCAACTTAGAGAGATTGCCTGCCTCTACCTTCCTCCTGGTCTGAGATGCCAAAATTAAAGGCATGCACCAACATTCTTGGTTCCACTTAAACTTTGTTTGTATGTTTGCTTGTTTGTTTCAGTCTTTCTCATGTTAACTTTTAAAAATTTTGTTTATTGTGTGTATGTGCAATTGAGTCTGTGTGTGGGTGTGCCCATTCCACAGCTTGCATGTGGAGGTCAGAGGGCAATTTTCTGGAGCCAATTTTCTCCTTCCTGTGTGTCCTGGGGATGGAACTCAGGCCCTCAGGTTGGCAGCAGGTGCCTTTACCCTCAGAGCTATTTGGATGGCCCTCATGTTAACCTTTTGTAGCAGTAAAGATCATCTATGTAACTTGAGCAGAACCTTGTTAACAATTATTTTATGAGTGTTTTGTCTGTTTGAATGTCTGTGCGCCAGGTGGGTGCCTGCTGCAGAGGACCAAAGAGGGCTTCAGATCCCCTGAAATGGAGCTACAGATGGTTGTGAGCCACAATGTAGGTGCTGGGAATTGACTGAACCTAGTTCTCTGGAAGGAGCAGCCAGTGTTCTTAACCAATGAGCCATCATTCCAGCATCCCCCCCACCAAAACCTTTTATAAATATTTGCTAAAGTATCTTAGTTGTTCTTATACCAGATGAAATGAAAACTGATTTTAATTGCCAATGTTTTGATAAGCTTTAGCATATTTAAAAGAATAGTTTATTTTTTTTTATAATACTGGTAAACACAATATTATACCACTTATTGTAACAAGCAGTTGTGATTCAATAGTGAATCTAAATACCAAACCAATAACCAGAGGATTTCTGGTGTTTGGCTATAATAGTTCATTAGGTCAGCATCTTCGGGATGCAGGGCTGGGGATGCAGCTCAGTTGGTAGGGTGCTTGCCTAGCATGCTCAAATTAGGATCAATTAGGATCAATTCTCAACACAATATAAGCCCACTTCTAATTACAGCACTGCCCTGGGAGCTGAAGACTAGAGAGTCAGAAGCTGTAACCTCAGCTATATGGCGAGTTCAAGGCCAGCCTCGGGTATATGAGACCCCATCTGGAAAAAAAAAAAAAAAGGAAAAGAAAAGTAGCAATAAAACACTGCCATCCATTTAGATGATTTTATGAATGAGCCGTATGAATGAATTTGCAAATTTTAATTAGGACACCTTAGCTAGTGTTGTAGAGTGTGAATTTCATTCACATAGCCTCTTGAACATTTTTGCTTTGACGTAAGTTCCCGCTTCTTAGCATTTGGGCCCGATGAGTCAATGCTCTGTGGGGTTGTCATGAGCACTGGAAGATGTTTGACAGCTTCCACAGCCACTCTTCACAAGACAGCCACAGCAGAATCTGAAGTGACAATAATCAGAACGGTCTCCACAGAGCTGGAGAGATGTTAGGGACACTGGCTCTTGCAGAGGATCTGGGTTTGGTTCCCAGCATCCACATGGAGACTCACAGCCTTTGTAACTCCAGTTCCAGGAGACCTTACGCCATCTTTTGCCCCCCCCCACCCCAGGCTCCTGCATGTGTGTGCTGCACACACACACACCTGACCACATACACATGTTCAGATGTTGTCAGATTGGCCCTGTGAGAAGCCCTCACTAGGGCAGGCTGAACCAAGTCTAGTTCCCAAAGGAAGTATTTCAGAGAATAGTTAATTTAAAAGTCACGGCTTCCAGTTGTGGGTGATTTTCAGTAAGTTTCCCAGTGACCTTCCCTGTAGCTGAAGACCAGTGTGGGCGCTGGTCTTACATCCTCCCGGAATCTCGGTTAGCCCGCCCCTTGCATTCTTCCACTTGCAGGCAGGCAGAACTGGCGGTCAACAGAGAAATCCATCCAGGCTCTATTTTGTTGTTGTTTTTGTGAGCTGGCTGGCTTGGAAGTCTAGACCAGGCTGGTCTGAACTCACAGAGACCCACCTACCTCACCTCCAAGTGCTGGGATTAAAAGCAGGTGCCACCACACCCAGCCAAGCTGTTGTTAATTTCCTTTCCCCCCTTTTATAGATTCTGTGACCATGAGAGAGAGGACTAAAGACTGACCCATGATTTTCCGCACCTTTTCCTGAGGCAGTAGTCATGTTGGAAGGTCTTGTGGCCTGGGTTCTCAATACCTATCTGGGGAAGTATGTCAGTAACCTGAACACAGACCAGCTCTCAGTTGCACTCCTCAAAGGTAAGCACACCTACTCTAGCTAAGTGTGGCCTGCTACCCTCCCTCCCTCCCTCCCTCTTCTCCCTCCTTCCCTCCCTCCCTCTTCTCCCCTCTCCATTTCTCCCTCTCTCCCCCACCCCCTTCCTTCCTTCCTTCCTTCCTAATTAAAGTGTGTGGGAAGGTGATGCACCTGTGGAGGTCAGAGGACAACTTGTGCAAGTTGGTTCTTTCCTTCTACCATGTGGGTTCTGGGGTGGGTGGTGGGGGTTCAAACTCATGTTAGCAGCCTTCCTGGCCCTGCCCTTACCCCCCGAGTCACCTCACCTGCCCTAGTTTACCTGTGGGTTTATGTGGTAACACCCATGCTTGTGCACAGGTGAGCTCATGGGTACTTTTGGAGGCCATAAGTCAACTTGGGGTGTCTTTTTTTTTTTTACGTGGGAAGTTTTATTGGGGGAAGGGAGTGGGGAAAGGGAAGGGAGAGAGAGGAGAGAGAAGCACTCAGGAGGCAGAGGCAGGCGGATCTCTGTGAGTTCGAGATCAGCCTGGTCTACAAGAGCTAGTGCCAGACAGCCTCCAAAGCCACAGAGAAAACCTGTTTTGAAAAACAAAGCAAAGCAAAGCAAAACAAAACAAAACAAAAAACAAAACAAAGCGGCTTGAGAGAGAAAGATGCATGCAACAGAGTTCAAGCAGAGGGTTGTTTTTTTGTTTTTAAATTAAGGGAAAAGGATAGTGAAAAGGGGACAGGAGCATCGGGAAAGGGGGGGCAGGGGGCAGAGGGAGGTGGAGGTGGGCAGGGCCCTTTTCAAAGGGAACATAATGAATAGGCACAGGTGGTGCTCTTGATAGCAGCTGAGGGCGTATCCTCTCTAAAGGCACTCCAGTAGAATGTCTAAATACTTGGTGACATACTGTTTGCTGACAAGATGAACCGATGGAGCTTTAAGGCATAGGATGTATTCCTGGATTTAGTAATGTCAGATTTCTAATCTCAGCGCTTCTAGGTAGAATATGTCCTTTTTTTTATTATTAAAGTGCCAGGTGTGGTGCATCCTTTTAATCCTAGCACTTGGGAGGCAGAGTCAGGTGGATCTTTGTGAGTTCAAGGCCAGCCTGGTCTACATGTGGGACCCTGGCTTAAAAAAGGAGGGGAGGGGGACTGGAGAGATGGCTCAGTGGTTAAGAGCCTTGACTGCTATTCCGAAGGATCTGGGTTCAATCCCCAGCACCCACATGGTAACTCACAACTGTCTATAACTTAAATTCCAGTGGATCCAACTCCCTCATGCAGACATTCATGCGGGCCACATACCAACACATAAAAATTATTAAATGAATAACAAAAGATTAAAGTTGCATTTATAGCTTTTGTACGTTTGTAGGCACACATGCTACAGAATGTGTGGGGAGTCTACTCTCTGTTTCCACCATGCGTGTTCTAAGGATCGTATTCAAGCTGGGCAGGAAGCACCTTTATTTACCCTCAAAGTCATCACCCTGGCCCTTCCTAATGGTTTTCACTCTGTAGCCCTGGCTCAAACTGACACAATGAAGTCTCTGCCAGCTTCAGACTGGTGGAGATCCTCCTGCCTCTGCCTCCCAAGTGCTGGGATTATAGGCGTGTGCCACCACACACAGCTTAGACAGAATATATCTTTCTTTTTCTTTTTTTAAATTATTTAACTTTTTTCATTTATTTTACACCCCATCACAGTTTCCCTTTCCTCTTCTCCTCCCGCTCCCCCTCCCGCCAATCTGTTTCTCCTCCGAATCCATTCAGCAGGATATATCTTGTAGCATCTTTCTGGTGCTTTAGGGTAACTTTTATTACATCCTTTTTAAGGACTACTATTTCTTTGACTTTTAAATCTATGGAATGAAGCTGAGTGTAGTGAGTCGTGCTTTCAGTCCAGCACTGGAGAGGCAGAGGCAGAGGCAGAGGCAGAGGCAGGCAGAGCTCTGTGAGTTCGAGGCCAGCCTGCTCTACATAGTGAATTTCAGTTAGGGCTATGTTGACAGACCTTGAATTAAAAAAAAAAAAAAAATTAGCTGGTGGCTTTCGAGGCCAGCCTGGTCTACAAAAGTGAGTTCTAGGACAGCTAGGGCTGTTACACAGAGAATTCCTGTCTCAAAAAACAAAAGCAAACACA